ACTCTTAGATCGTCAGGTCTGGGAGGGCCTTCATCCTTTCCAGTGCATACAAGAGGAAGCTGAAGCTCTGAGGTTTGGAAACCCTGGAGATATCACTCAGCTGATTTCTAGCAGGTTTGTATTAAATCTTAGTTTTGGAGAGTTAAGAATCTTGAGGAGTGATAACCTTGGCTGTTGAATTAAGGACATGATGTTCTTGGAGAAAATTAATCAGGAAGGGCACTGGGTGAACATTTATCAAGAGATTCTTTAGCAAGGACACATATAGGTAAAGCATAGGAGAATGAGCCAGAAATAAATGAACTAAATAAGAACCTATTTTGGGGAGATTAAAAAACATTAACTTCAAAGTTATTTGCATTCTGTGTCCCTTTGCCCCGACCAAGCCAGTGTGTCTGACTCATGCGGTCACAGCATTCTGCAGAATGATGACCTCTAGTCTCTATACATTCATGTTGTATGAATGGGAGGGTTTATGCCTGGGGGGTATGAACTGGGATTGTTGTATGCCCAGGAAGTCTCCAGCAGCTGTCACTGGCTGACTACAGATGTCTACAAACTCCTCACTTCTGATGAGCGGCCACACCTTGGGCGGTGCACGCCTTGTGTTACTCAGGATGTGGGCTCAGCTGTGTGTCACAGAGACCCCACATACCAGTGGCTTACACAAGGTAGAAGCTATTTCTGTTTCATGTGCTCATGTCAAAGATGTGCTGGCAGGATAGGTCTGGCCTGTGGAGTCATCTGAGGCCAGGGGTTTTCTGTCCCCAAACTCTGTTGCCCTCCTTCAAGGAGTCCCACATGGTTCACCACGCCGTGCACACACCCCACACAGGAACCTTACCCTTTAAGGCTGGTCATTGCATACAATTACACGCCTCACTTTTGCTCATTCCCATGGCCCATAATCTAGTTTCATGGTCATATCCAGGCTGCAAGGGAGGTTAGGGAGTGCAGCTAAAATTTCTATTATTCTGGATGAAGGTGAGAAGAGGTGTTGGAGATAACTAGCAACTCCACGAAAGCGCTGACAAGGATCACAGTTGATACCCAGTCACCTTCCCAAGTGAAGGTGCACACACAGTTGGAACTAGGATAGTATTTCTTGCATGCCTGCATTGATTCATCCAACAAATACTTGACTGAAAATAAGGAAGTGGAAAAATGCAGTCACGATCTTCATAAAGCTCTAACCCAGGTTGCTGCCTCCTAAGTGATCACTAGTCTAGGTGTGGTGTACAGAGTAAGTGGGGACTAGGGAGGATAGTAATTCAGGCAAGAGAAGAGAGAGATAGAGGAGGTGATTGCAGGGAAAGATGGGAGACAGAAGAGGCTCCTAGTTCTTTCCAGAAGGCACTCCTGGAAAAAGACCAGACCCAGAAATTCAAAGTTGAGAGTGTAACTGTAGTTGAACTAATGAAACTGAGAGTACAACCCATAGCTTTGTGAGAAGCACAAATGTAATTTTTTTATTTTTCAAAATAACATTAATATAATTTCTTCTATATTCCTTGTGCAAATCCTCAATGTTCTACATTGAAGATGAGGCTAAATAGGAGGTATAAACTTTCTAAATTTTCTTATTAAAAAATAGTGCCAAGCTGGGTGTTGGCCATGTCTCTAATCCCAGCTATTCGGGAGGCTGAGGCAGGAGGACCACTTAAGCCTAGGAGTTCAAGTCTGAGCTGGGCAACATCATGAGACTGTATCTCTATAAACAGACAAACAAGCAAATAAATAAAACAGAAATAGTGCCACAACTTACTTTGCTGTGTATTTGGGAGAACACATATTAGTTAATCAAAATCATTTGCTGAAGCTTGTCTCCATGCTGTATAAACAAGCTAGATAGAATCTGCCTACATCAAGTATGCAAAACTAGTGAAAGAATTACAGAAGAGTAACTGTTTGCTTTCAGGCTGGCTCCTTCTTCCCTGGAGAGCAAATTGGAGTTTAACCTGACACCTCTATGATCTTCGGATCATTTTATTCCTGGAATAGTTGTGCTCTACATTTTGAAAAGTTAAAATGAAAATTGTAGAACCCTCGACAAAGTTTGGTTGATGGAATTTAGATTTGACTGCTTCCAGCCCCTTCTGAGTTTAACAAAAAGGCTCGAGTATATTCTTCATGGAATTTGGCTCCAAGAAAACTCAACTCAATTTCCTGGAATGGAGCGGATTTGTGACTTCGGAGGGAAACATCTGCATTTCCTTTTCCAAAAATCCTCCCTTTGCGTTAGGCTGCACCCTGTGACATTTCCACCAGATGGCAATACAGACTTCGCATGGCAGAGAGTCTGGCTGGTTTTCACAATCTCTAGAAATATTTGTGTAAGCACTAGAAAAAAGCATTTTTTATAAATGAAAAGCTCCCATAACCGCCCCCCATTCTAAAGCAACCATCTTTATTTGCATATATTCACTTCAAGTTTTGTCAATATTCATACAGTCGTAAGTACATTTGTAATGTACATGGCATTTTAGTCTACTGTTAAAATTCAGCACAGCGTATATCATTTACATATTTCTACATGACCTTCATAATTATCGCAGCAGTTACATACTATTACACATAGTAAACCCTTCCCCTATTGTTACATATTATGTAGCATGCATTTTTCGCCTGTTATAGATAATGTGGCAGGTAATGTCACACAACTGGCACGCAGTTTTGGAATATTAGGAAGAATTTTAGGGATAGGAATACAGGGTGAAAGATATAGATGTCTTTTGCTCTTTAACTTTTCCAGAAAGATGTGCAGATTTACACGGCTATCAGCACTGTGAGAAGATCTGGGTTCTGACCAGTTGCACTAGGCCCACGTTTTTATTTTGTTTTTTAAATCCTAAAAGTCAGGTGCAGGGGCTTTAGCGTGTAATACTAGCACTTTGGGAGAGTGAGGTGGGAGCTCAGGAGTTCAAGACCAGCCTGGGAAACACAGTGAGACCCAGTCTCAAAAAAAAAAAAAAAAAAAAAAAAAGAGAAAGGAAGGAGAAAAGAAGAGAAGAGAAATTAAGACAGGTGGCAGTGGCTCATGCCTGTAATCCCAGCACTTTGGGAGGCCAAGACAGGCAGATCACTTGAGGTCAGGAGTTTAAGACCAGCCTGGGCAACATGATGAAAACCTGTCTCTACTAAAAATACAAAAATTAGCCGGGCATGGTGATGGTGCCTGTTGTCCCAGCTACCTGAAAAGCTGAATTGCTTGAACCTGGGAGGCAGAGGTTGCAGTGAGCAGAGATCAGCCATTGCACTCCAGCCTGGGTCACAAGAGCGAAACTACGCTCAAAAATAAAATAAAATAAGATAAAAATAAAAATACAATAAAATAAATTAGACGGGTGTGGTGGTGCATGCCTGTAGTCCCAGCTGCTTGGGAGGCTGAGGCAGGAGGATTGCTTGAGCTGGGAGGTCGAGACTACAGTGAGCTGTGATTGCATGATTGTACTTCAGCCTTGGTGATGGAGCAAGACCTTGTCTCCAAAAATTATATATATATATATCCTAAGACATCTCCCACGATACATTAATTCCATTCAACAAGTATTTGTTCAATCTGCTGTTCCAAGTTTGCTATTGAGTGCTAGGAAGACAATAATGAGGAAATACAGTCAGGCAGGGAGTCAGATTCTTCATCCTACAATTATATAAACCAGTGTCAAGCCCCTGCCATGACGGGCGCCATGTGGGAGAGTAACATGCTGCTCCGCAGCCCTGAGTGGGCGCGTTGCTGAGTCAGGACGCCCGGCCATCCACATTTCCTCTTCCTTCCAGGCATTGCGTTTGCTGCTCCCTCTGTTTGGAGCACTGCCCAAGCGTTGTCTTAGCTCCTGCTGCGGGGAAACTGCATGGATCACCTGGGGTGGGGGCAGTGTCTACAGAGGAAAGGACTTGAAAACGCACTTCTCCCGAACTAGGTGATGTTTTCTGTGTGTGCGTGGCCCTTCTTCACAGTGGCCTCCTAGAAAAACAAGACCGTGACTGAGAGAATACCTCTCATTTCAGTAAGACTGCTTGGAATGCTTTACTTTTTTAAAAAATTTAAGTGTTTAATGTGGTGAAAAATATATAACATAAAACTTACCAGCTTCACCATTTTAAGGACATAGTTCAGTGGCATTAAGTACATTCTCTTTGTTGTGCAACCATCACCACCACCCATCTCCAGAACTCTCTTAAAATCTTGTTCCCAAACAGAAACTCTGTACCCATCAGACAACTCCTACTTCCTTCTCTCTTCACCCCTGGCAACCACCATCCTACTTTTTCTTTCTATGAGTTTGACAGCTCTAGGAATCTCTTATAACTGAAGTTATCCAGGTCTGTCTGTCTGTGACTAGCTGGTTTCACTTAGCATAATGTTCTCAAGGTCCTTTTATGTTGTAACACGTGTCAGAATTTCTTTTCTTTCTAAGGCTGAAGAATATTCCATTGTGTGGACCTACCACATTGCATGTATCTGTTTATCCACTGATGGACCCTTGAGTTGCTATGGAAAATAATGCGACTATGAACATGGAGATCTGTTCCAGTCCTTGCTTTAAATGACTTTTGTAGATGCACAGCAGTGGAATTGCTGGATCAGATGGTAATGCTATGTTTGCTTCACTATTTATAATGTGCCTTTATGCATATTGTGATAAAATTTGATCTTTACAACAGTCCTGTGAGATAAGTAAGTATTGGTCTCTGGTTCAGAAAACTGGTTTCTTCAAAGTGAAATGATAAATGGAAGAGTATCCTGACCTTAAACTTGGCTTTTTTTATTGCCCATTCACCTTGAAGACTGGTTCCAGTCACTAGTGTTACCTTCCAAGGACAATGTCATTCTGGTTACAACCAGCTTGCTCCCCTGCCCTGAGCTTTCTGTCCAAGTCAGTCCAGGTGTGGGTCTGGGGCAGGGGACAGCTCACCCATTTCCCACTGTACGGAACACAGGCTGTGTCTTGGGCCTCAGCAACAAAGGTTTCTTTTGGGTTTCTGTTTCCCTCTTTCAGTTCAGAGTCTGTCGTCTGAACCATGAGGATCTGGTGGTTTCTGCTTGCCATTGGAATCTGCGCAGTGAACATAAGCTCACAAGACTCACAAGGCACCCTGGCATCCCTGGGAACCCCGGTCACAACGGTCTGCCTGGAAGAGATGGACGAGACGGAGCGAAGGGTGACAAAGGGGATGCAGGTACTCACCTGCTGGCTTTGGCTGCCTTTCAACTTTTCTCCCTTCATTCTTTTCATCTCATTCACTCATCATCTGTGTGATTTTCCACCTACCCACTCACACCCCATCCATCCATCCATCCATCCACCCAGCAACACTCGCTGGGGCCTGACCCCATTCATTCATCCACCCATCTGCCCAGCAACACTCACGGGGTCTGCTCCATGCCAGACTGTGTGCCAGGTGCTGGTGGAGAGCACAGGGTGAGATGGCCATGACCTCTACCCTCCCGGGTTCTCTCATCTCTGACACCGCAGAACATTTTCAGTAGTATACGATGTCATGGATCCTCCCACCTCAGGCGAAAGGTATGATGGATTTTTGGCAACGAAAGACTAACAGAGAGATCTGATTGTGAATTATTTGGCAGCAAGCAGCCAGCTGCAGTGCAGGTGAGAGCTAATACTGCATCGTGCCATGAAGCAGGAGATGCGGAGTGACAGATGACACAAAAGGAGACGAGAATCTGAAGCCATAGAGCTGCTGCTTATGAATCTATGACCTAGGTTGGGACCCTGTCCCAGGGTCTGGGGATCTGGGGACAGGATCCAGCCTCTGGGAGGGAGATTTGCCAAAGCTGAGAAGTCTGAGTGGTTTCCATAACAACAACCAGTAGACTTGGTTTCTGAATGGGGTACCATTCTTGAGCCCTGGCCTTGACAGTACGGTCACATATCTAAGATTTATGCAGAATGATCCATCTGGGTTGAGGGCACAGTTCAGTGGCATAACAAAGAAAATGTCAAAACTTCTATGGACCTTTTTAAAGACAAGTTTTTGTTTCTAACATGTCTCCGCTTATGGCATTTGGTGGCCTGATGTTTTTTTGAGTGGGCTGGATGAAGTCAAGGGTCCCCAGGAAGCCACTTTATTTCTTGGTAACTACCATCCTGCACATGTGCTCTGTGAGGTGTCTTCTCCTGGCTCACAGCTCCAGCTCACTGACACTGCTCCAGGGCCCTGTAGCGAACAGCCCAGTCCAAATGAGTAGCAAAACCTTACCCTTAATGAAATCAGGTCTTCTGCCCTCACACCGGGACCACAGTGGGGGGTGTGTGTGCATTGTATTTCTGAATATGTAGGATTTTCATTTTTTTATTTTTGTTATAAAATATTACACACAAAAGGAGATAAATAGGTGATACATAAAAAATAGAGGACTAAGAGAAACACTCCTATATTCAATACCAAATTTCTCCATCTCTTCTCTGTCTAATTTCTCTCCTCTTTGCTCACCAATGTCCATTCTTTCAAGTTTTACATACTTCTTACAAGCAAATGTTATACCTATTTTTTTTTCTATGTAATTCATAGGTATTATGTATAATATATATTATTTCTTAGAAGGATATTCATTCACATTGCTCACACTAAAAATTTACTTCATTTTTATCTTATCATCTTAAAGTGTATTTTTGTGTATGTTTTATAATAAACATAATTTTCATATAATACCTGTGCATGATTTAGAAACACATAAATGTCTACTGATTGGGGTCTGTGCTCATGCTTTGTGAGTTGTGGTTGTTTGATCATGAAAGCTCTGAGGCCACTGCTCTAGAGAATGGGAGAAATGAGAGCCAAGCAGGAAACAAAAAGAGGGAAGGAGAGGAAGACACAGGGGAGCAGCCAGTGGAGGGGAGGGGAGGGGAG